AGCGATGGTACAGCCCTCTGCAAACTGCGTGGTAGGTATTCTTTTTCGACTAAAACGAGAATAATGCGCATACTATGCTATCGGTCATTCGCAAATCGTAACAGGAAGACACGCGAGACTTCGCACCTTAGATTGGCATCATCACCGTATTCATTTTCCTTCTAGTTCGACAACAAAATCCAAAAGTTTATATTTGCCCCCAAAACAAGTATACTTTGTTTAGTGATACACCTAATCGAAGGAGTGGAGCATGGCGCATCTATTTGCAGTGAGTTCTGACCGACTGATAGCATAGCCTCTGAGTTATTACCGGTTATGTCGAAAAAAGAATACCTACCACGCAGTCTGCTGAGGGCTGTACCTACATCTTACAATAGAAACCAATCAACAACCCATACTCAATTTGTTTTTAAAATCTTTACGTGGGGGCATTGAACCATGTTACGCCTATGCTACCGGAGTGTCCGTTGGTTCCCGTGCCACTCTGACTCATCCCCGCGCGGCCCTCGACCGGTGGCCGGTGGTCGTTTCCCGGCGCACCATTAGGTCAGCTTCGAGTGGCGGCGGCCGCTCACCAACACACTATTTACCATGCCGGCGGCGCTATCCGCCTGTGATCCATCTCTCGCTCCGCCCCTGCCCCTCCACTGCCCCTCCACTGCCCAGCGTGCCGCGCTCAGTCCGCGCTAACACCCCACCCACCCACATACAGACAGACACATCGTACCTGGCTACCGCACGCCCACCGGGCTGTCACAAAAGGCGGGAGGCGCGCGGGGCGACAGAAAACTATCGGCGCTGTGTCTCGCCGGCCGGCTGTCCCCGGCGACAACAATGGCTAGCTCCTGGGGACAGCCATTGCCGCGTTACGGGCCATAGCACGCGGACCTCTGCACGTGGCCGTTCCCACGCGTGTGCGCGCCTGGCCCGCTGACAGTGGTGACAGCGTGCCGTGGGCCGGACAGCCTCGCCTGCTGAGTTCCTGATCGGAGACGCGCTCTTCTGACCAGGAAGGACGTCCGCCGACCAGCAGCGCACCTTTTCTGTCTGTTTAGGTCCACTGAACCAATTGATATTCTTGGAGCTACAAGCGATCTATTTGGTAACACAATATACGACACACGGTTCAAAATACATAAGAAGTTCAAGAGCTCATGTCTAAATCCATCCCTAAGTAGGCACCCATTCAAGTGAATAATGTCATTGAACTTAAGTACAAATGGTATTTACCCTATTGCGATGCTGAAATCTATTGCTGAAAGCAATAAAAGGGGCCAATTCAAAACAACAAACCCATCGAGGCTGTTTCTCACCGTCAGTATCTTTCAGCGCCGATGAAATGAGTTCCGCGGGATATGTTGCAAACTGGCCGGCACGATGGCAGCTATTCTGAAGTGAATGAACGGCACGGCTGGATTGAAATTTGGACATCGTAACGCCGGAGTGGCCAGTATATTTTTGCGGACGTGACCCGACTCTGTGTACACTGCTGTGAGGGCCCACTGGGACCAGCTGTCGACAGCCACCCGTCTGGCGCAGTTGCGACGAATTCGGCGCGACGGCGTGTCGGCTCACCGGCGGGCGACGGGCGCCGCGCCGCCGACGGGCCGGTTCCAATAGTCGACCCGCTGATGGGCGCCGTTTTGGTCCGCCGGCAGGCCCCCGACGAGCGTGTACACTGCCGGCAATTGACTCCAACTCCATAACGCCGGTGGCAATTTGTGTTTGGCAATGCTCGCCTGCCGTAATCGTCTCACAACATGCGGAGATTTCCGTTGGACGATATTACTGCCGTGCACGAATCGCCACGATCGTGTATGCCTAGCAATAATAAAGGAGCCAATATCAAGCTCGCTGAATAGCCTGATCGGTTAAGAGGCCTTATTGATTATGTATTTGCTTAAATTGATGTTTGGAAGAAGTAGGTAGTCGCTGAGCATCTTTTTAAGTCGGAGTAAATCTAACGGCGCGTTTAAAGCTATCTGTAATTTCAAGCAAAAAGGCCTGGCTCCACCTCTAGAGGATTTTCCACGCATCAAAGAAGCAGAATGTTCAAAATTCAAACTAATATCTTGACATCAGTTGCATCACTGGTCGCTCCCAACTGATTGCACCGCCTACCTCACTCTTACATCACCTCCCACATCACTCGACCAGCAGTACACCTCAGTACGTTTCCAGTGCAGTGAACCAATCAAACACTCCAGCACCTATCAGCAGTGAGCCAATAGAACACTCCTATACCTTCTCAGCAGTGAGCCAGCGGTATAGCTCAGTGCATTTCCAGCAGTTTACTACACCTTTCCAGTCGCGGACCTGCAGTGGAAACCAGTATCTTAATATATCAGAGAACCCGTGTTTCCCATTGCACATTTCCATCCCCAGGTCACTAGCGGCAGCCGTGCCATCGCCATCACATCTTCACCCCAGCTGTCTGGACGCGTGATTGTCACCGTAAACCGACATCAGCTGTCTGGTAGGAGCCGTCGCAGCCACTCAGCGTGAGAGAGCGTCGAGCCGCCGCACCCGCCCACCAATAACCAACAAAGTAGCAATCAGCAGCCGCTAGCCAGCCAACACATACCCACTCAGTGCGGACCAGTAGTCGCCTCACCTACCCAGTGTAAGATCCAGCAGCTGTCGCGCTGGCCAGCCACCACAACCAGTCTCAGCTCATACCGTCAGCGACTCAGCTCTGTCTGTGTACGAGGTCTGCGGGATCTTACAGTGTAAGATCCCGCAGCTGTCGCGCTGCCCAGCCACCACAACCAGTCTCAGCCCATACCGTCAGCTCTGTCTGTGTACGAGGTCGGGGCGGCGAGGCGGCCTTGGCCCGACCCAGCCGACCGGCGCCAGTTGCCTGGGACGGTGTTTTTGGTCGGCGCACTGTTGACTCGGTAAATACTGGTGACCGCAGCAGCGACGAGCGGGCGCACACACTCGCCGCCGCCGCCGCCGCCGAAACATGGCCAAACAGTTGATGAAAATCGGCCACTGTGTGCTCATGGCTGGGGGTGGGGCCCCGCGTCAGTTAGTGCTCGTGCGCCCCCGGCGAGATGCAGATCTTGCCGGTGCTTCGCTGAGCTCTCGTCGGCAATAATGCCGGTGATCAGTCACAGAGCCGGATGTAACAGGACCGGCGACACAGACGGCCGAGACGGTCCCAAAAGTCCCGGGCTGTTCCCGGCCTGTTCCGGGCAGTCCCCAGCGGCCACGGGCCGCTGTCGCTGCCGACAGTGGGCCACGTGCCGTCGGACCAACACGGCAACAATCGTCGGCCGTCTTCCCGTGAGAATTGACAGGGCAGCAAGACAGCCCTAGCTTTCGGACGGAATGAGAACCAATTGGATTTATGTGACTGTACTGATGAGGTTAGAGCTGATAAGCAATATTAGATAAATGTTTGCGAGACGTACAGATAACTTCGTAAAAATATCAAGTAGGCTCATTATTATTCAAATGATAATAAGTGAAGTTTGCGATATCGTTTTGCTAATGACGTTGTTCGAAACTCATTATTGATGTGCGGATGCAAGTTGAATCCTTTAGCAGTGGATCAAAAGTCAAGCATTGCATAACACTTCCCATGCGACACACTTTCGCCGATGATGGGCACGCGGCATCTTCAATGGCTGCAAATGCTTTAAATCCATTATCACTGTGCCTACGCACTATCAAGGATACCAAGTGCCACAGACCGTCCGCATTTTATCCCGGCCGCTTTTATATCCAACAAGGTAGACTCTTTTTCGCTACAACATCCTAGGATCTCATCTAGCAGCAGTTAATATGCCGGCGGAAGTAAACCCATAAATGAATCTCTTCGTGACAGCGAGCCAGACAGAACAGCCCTCCAGCACACTCTAGCTGTGGAACAAACCACCTCAAGATCCTCCCGTCTGCCAACAACCATCCCCAGAAACCCTCGAGATTCGAGAAGTGGTGGGGCCTGTGGTCTGGAAGCCAACGAATTCAACACGACCCTCAGCTATGGCAGTAGCAAATGCAAACTGTGCACTCAAGTCAGGATTTAAAACTCTTCTGACTTCAACGGCCACATTGGCGGCGGTCCCCTTCGCCGCAGAAGTGCTACTTCACTGTGTGTTTGACAAAAGAAACCCGGGTCATCGCTGATCCTGAACAATCGCAGGAATCTGGCCAATGCCTATGCGTTTCGGTCGCCGTCTCGTTACCAGGCGGCCGTGATCAATCGTGGTCAGACGCCGAGAAGAAGTGTGCGTTCCTGACCGGCCGGCCGGCTACTGTGAGCATTCTTGTGTCACCGCCGGCGACAGACGAGCTCTGAGACCTCGGCTGCCTCTCCGGCTCCCCGGGCCGGGCCTGGTCTGTGGGGAGCTGACATGTCACGTGACTCACGTGACCGAGGGGCTGACAGGCCACGTGACTGCGTCCAGAGGGAAACCAGCCGGCGCCGGCGCCTCCGGACAGGCGCGGGGGAGGGTCGGGGGAGGGCGGGGGTACGGGTCGATTTACAGGCGTGTCTGGCAGGCGGCCGGGTAGGACACACCGCCGGTCGGGACGGAACTGATACAAGGCGCCAGACTACACCGGCGGATGCATAGATCTATACTCACGGTAACACTGAGACACTAAAAATGTAGCGTCAGAAACCCAGTCAAACCTGTAACGGACATTGGTTAAACCGATTAAAAACCGCGACGGTCTACATATACGGTTTGACTTGGGGGCAGAGCAGTGGCGGCGAAACACCTTCAATTAAGGGGGGGGGGGCACTGCCGACTTTTGGTCCCATTCTTTCCATGCAACGCCCATAGAGCTAATGTTAAAATGCTAAAATCAAAGGGGAGCACGGTGCCCCGGTGCCCCCCCCCGGCCCCCCATTCCGCCGCCTATGGGGCAGAGTCAAACAATATGAGTTTCTGGCATTTCTTCACAGCTCAACACCATTACTTGTTTATTTTTGTTCCAGGGCGACCTGCAGCTCGCTTTGACGCATCTTGTCTGGTGTTCCCTTTCAGGATAAGACACGTGTGGCCACCGGCGCACCAGTCAGCCTGGTAGCTCCATCTAGAGCAGCTAAAAAGCGGCGAGGATTATTTTTGGCCCACCCAGGCAGCGAACAGGTCAGTAAGATACAGTCATCCCACTTGGAGACAGATCGATCAGCTATATATAATATCGCCTCACACGCTGAGACTCGCCCAAACGAGCGTTCTTTATTGGCTGCATTGTCTATCTATCACGCCCACGCTCATCTTGACTCTCACTAGTAACGCAGCCAGTCTGACCCAGTCGTGACCTTTGCTCGTCGGCTCGTTATTTTCCTGGTCACCCAGCGACCCCTGTGACCTCTCTACGCTCGGGATATTCCCAGCTCGTGCTCAGACACCGACCAGACTCGGCAGCCGGCGCCGAGAGAGCTAGGACGAGAGCGAGTCCGGTTTGACTCACAGGCCACACAGTCTGTACAGAACGGTCGCGTGACTGATGCTGCCATTTGTGAACATCACGTCAGATCGTTTGTTGTCAGCGACACGCCCCGAGAAGCGCGCCTAAAAACGCCGCAGACGCAGGCACGTCCTTTCTGTGACGGCGGTGACAAAACGCCCTCATCACGGGTAATTGATGAATCCGGTCTCGACAAAACGAGGACGAAATCCACTCCCGACGGCTCTGCAAAGCGTCAAAACTTGGTGCTGTTGTACTGTCTGGAAGGTATTGACTGGTAGTACAGCCGTCAGATTGCCCTTTCTACTCCGCACAATAAACACTTAAATTCCATTACGTGGCTTGATTTTCATATGTTTTAGTATCTTACCGTCTGGTAATGATTTCAAAACACCTAAGGCACCAATTTACTGACAGCGCCTCAGTTGGTGACATACCAGGGAAATAAGCTTAAATTAGAGCGCTCTATTTATTGCTCCTGCCCCATGTTGAAGAGATACCCCTAAAAGCGTGATCTTTTATCGGCCCTTACGCAGCAAGGCAGTACTTCTCAGACCGGTGGATGGTATCTATAGAAAGAGAATGCGTCAAAGATTAACATGAATTAATTAAAATAACATTAAAATGTTAATTAAGCGTGGAAATTAGTCCCAAACATAAGCAAATTATCGCTCCTACCTCGGCGACGGCGCTCCCCGCAGTCAGCGGAGAAGCTAAAATAAAAGCCACCATCCTCCTCCGTAAGTCAATTTTAGAGCGGCCGAGTGGACCGATGCGGGGCCACCAAACTGAGATAAGACGTGGCTAGCAATTGCAAACCGCCATAGAAATCAATATCTTAAGACGTACAATATGGGATGATTACTCTGAAGCCGGGGTGAAAGCATGAGTAGATAGGAAGAAACGAAATGCATAGATTGGTTGAATTATGTATGTACAATAGGCACAGCTCAATAGATGAAGCCATTTCATGTTGACATTTGACATAACCCTTCCTCTCCTCACCTATGACCTAAGTGCATTGGCAGTTGCCGGCATAGTTTTTGCGCACGAGTGTAATTAGCCATCGGACCGCAATGCATGTTGCTAGGCCGCTGCAATTACAACGAACATACGAATACTGCCTTCATTTGTAGACGTTTGTTTTTTAGGCGGTCTTTGACGTACAAGGGGGCATACCTGTCGACAACTTGAGTTTCTCCGAATTTCAAAAACTCCCAGAATTTCAATTCCTTATGCACTGTTGTAGGTACAGCTATGTTCACAAGTTTTCGTTTCCTCCCGTTCTAAAAAGGATGATATTTGTCGATTTCGTGCGTCGCTGATAGGAGGGTGCGTTTAATAATTAGGCCCAACGCTATCTGCATCCGCGAATACCTTCAAAAGGGAACAACAGTTTGTTTCCATTTATTACACTATGGGACATGTGACAAAATGACCACTGGAACACGCATGAAACGGAGCTCATATTCCTAAAAATGTCTACAATCACTTCTTTTCTGACACTATTAGCAAATACCATCTCAAGTTAGGTGGTTGACAGCAGTGTTCGCCACGGGCCGGGCCAGCCCAACGGGCCATGGGCCGGGCTGGGCTACGGGCTGGGCCGGGCCCCCAAATATCATTAGTTAACGGGCTATGGACGGGCCGGGCCAAGAGCTTTGTGCACTATGGGTTTTGTGACTAATGTCAATTTAAGAAAATTTGGAAACTGATGCAAACAAAACCCACTGGGAAAATACATAAACTAAACCAAATTTAAGCAATGTGAAAGAAAACTTACTTGATATTGAATTTTGGGAATCTTGAGGATTATCCAATATCACATCATCACACATAGGAGGGTTTTCATAAAAATTCCGCAACCAAAAAGATCAGAGAATCTCTAGCATCATTAGTTTGTTAATAAAAGTTAAAATGTAGTCATCAGAATAACTTACTTAGCACAAAAACTCCAAAAACTAAGAAGCCACTCAACAATGATGGGCTACAGGGCTACATTAAGTTTAACACTTATATATGGCGATAGTGAGACAATTCCAACACAGTCTTTTTTCCTTCACCGACGGCTTTTTAACGAACAGAACCTTAAAAGGATACTCACAAAACACACTGTAAGTAACGAGGAATTCTACAGAGTATTTCGCGATGAAAGCTTCTTTAAATGTCCATAAATTTGTCAAAATAAATCACAACAAACCAGCCCCTTCTCAACAAAATTTGCGATCATGGCGGCGGCCAAGCGGCGGCGCTATGTTTATGTGGCGGCATCTAGGTAGTATACACAACAGTATATCAAATAAATACGTTTTTTAAGTAAGTATCAAGGTGAAAAACAAAATTAAACAAATAAAAAATAAAACCTAAATCACGAAGTCTGAAAACTCGAACGAAAAACAAAATAAAAACTTGATCATATATGTTTTATTATACAATTGGTCAGAATCGCTACCTGCCGCAGCTGCGACAATCAAGAAGTGTTCGCTCATTTTCGATTGATGATGATGATGCGTAAAAGTCGCAAAAGTACCCAATAACATTTCAAGCTTACCATGTTTTCTGCTTACGCTGCTAGCGATATCCATATCTTGAAAAGAGCCTAACATAAAATAGCAAGGAAAGCAGCAGATAGGTAGTTGTCCACAGAGATTCGGTTGACACGTGGGCATGATTTGAAAATAGATTAAATCAGTTTTGCTGATAAATGGATGGATTTTCTCTTTTTTTGGAAGACAGTGCTAAAGTTAGTGTCACTTATTTTGTATGCTTTCTCAGGCTTTTGATATTGCAGCATCAATGGAGTGAATTTAACAGCAAGGTCAATCCCAGACATATTCATCAATTCCCATAAGTCAAGCTTTTTTCTGCTGGTAAGTGCTGGGAAGTATAGAGTATGTTGCAAATACTTCCTTCAAGTATGCATTAGAGTCACCAATTATGAATGATAATGTTCACACACATCAGCTTGCAAGATAACTTTACTCATAGAATCATAGAATGTAGTTAATATAATCATGTAAACTTTTTACAGGTGTGTAATCAGGTGCTTGCTGTTACTGTTAAAATTTGTGCCATAGGTACTTGAAATGATTATATTCATTGAAAAGAAGGGACTCATGATTGCCATGTTAATATTCATGCAATTTGAATTGTTCTCAAAATAGTGTAATCTGCAATAGTGCAATAGACTAAGACAATAACTAGATTGCTATTTTTGACGGGCCGGGCCGGGCTGGGCTTGGAATATTTGCCAAGAGCGGGCTACGGGCTGGGCCGGGCTCTGAACCCATGGGCCCGGGCCGGGCTGGGCTGGGGATTTTGGGGCCCGTGGCGAACACTGGTTGACAGACAGCCAATGGAGATCTGGGGAGACTGAGTGATGCCAATTCACCACTTAACTGATAATGAGGGCCGAGGGGAGAGAAACATGCAACATGCACAACTGACAACTTGACGGGTGACAAAACACTACCACTATTGTGCAGTGCACAACAAATTACAGCAGCCAGCCCAAAAAATGCTTTTGGTGGCTAATTGCAAAACAAGTCACTAATAAATGTCTTAGTTGCAGCTGAACACTGCACAATGATCACACTGTTCACGCATTGAGTGAGATGCCACAGGTGGTTTGAATCACACTTTGGTACAACTGCAAATCTGAAGTGTTGTCATGAGGTTCATGCCTCCATGATCACAGCACTTTGGTTGTGGTTGGCATAACACTTGTAGTCTGCAGAGTTCCACATGAACTGCAGACACCTCATCTGGTGGTCTTCATGTTGCTCAACTTCTTCAGGAGGCAAATGTCGACCACCCAGCAGAAGCATGGTCCTGCAGAAAAGAAAGGTAATGCATAAGGTACAAACATTATCTGCTGAAACAGCTACTTCTGTTGGCTGTAATTAAACTTTTAACATAACATAAAAACATGCATTCCATGTATATTACATTTGTTGAAGTAAAATTCTGCCGGCTATTTCAAAACCAGAAAATAAAATTATATTGTGGCATAATTTACATGCTCAGCCATCAGTATCAAAAAATAAATTAATTTAAAATTTGGCATATTCTATAAAACACATTCATAGAATATTCTACTTCACGTCACAAGGACTCGCAATCTTTCTGTTGGGTGTTTGATTGACGCATTAACTAAGTTTGTCTTAGGTTTTGTTATTGCAAAAAATTCGTATTGCATTATTGTATCAAAATACTGCCAGCAATAACAAAAGAAGAACATGAAATGTGAATGAGCAAGCCGCCTTTCCTAAAAAAGGGTTACTTTGAAAAGAATTTTAGTTTCTTTTAAGGAAAAGGAGAAATGATTATCAGGTAATTATCAGAAAACCACTCAACCAGCAAGTGGCTGGGTGGTTTCACAGCAAACATGAAGCCAAAACATATACTTACATTTATCGAACAATTGAGCCATTTGACTACTACAAGGATATGTGAGCAGAATAAGAATCCAATTATCCAATGTTGACTTCCTTGCAAAGTTTATGCCTTATTTTATGAAAATGTGTCACTAGAATATGATACTTATCATCGAATATTATTTAATTTACGATTTATTTCGATCGAAACGCAAATGGAGTCCCGCGCCATTTTCATCGACGATGAATATGCTCGTGTTTCATGAAGAGATAAGGGGTTTCAATGGTCTTTCAAAGCA